TGCGGTAGGGACGCGCCCCGCAGCCACTAGCAGTGGAGTGGCGCTGTGGTGGCCGCCCCGCCCCGCCCCGCCCCGCCCCCCCGCTGCAGGGGAAATTTTAAATTATTTTGCAGGGCATTTAGGAATGCAGCCCTTTGCGTTGCGCTGCGGCGTTGCGCTGCGGTTCACGTGGCCCGCTTTGCCCGCCCTGCAAACCCCACCGCTGCGCAACTGGTGAAGCATGTGGAGAGAGAGACAGAAAGAGAGAGAGAGAGAGAGAGGAGGGGGCGCAGGTGTGCGCGACTTCAATGCGTCCCACGCACGCCCCGACTGGGTGTGTCGCGTCGCGACGGCGCGGGGCTACCCCCTGGACTTCCCCCCCCCCCTTTTCTCTCTCTCTCTTTTCTTTTTCCTCTTTTCCCCTTTCCCCCTTCTCTCTCCCCCTTCTCCCCTTCTCTCTCTCTCTGAGGCGACTGCATGTTTAACCGCACCGGCCGATCACCTGCCCGTGGGAGTCTGGATGAGGATGAATGCGTGCCGGGGGTGTCTTCACGCGCGAGTCCGCGGACGGTCTGGCCGGCATGGCGTGGCCGGATCAGCCGTCCGCCGAGGCCGGGATGTATACATCAGCGCGTTGTTTTGATGTGACCGCTGGGAGAGGCGCGGCGCCGTGGTCGCCGTGGCGGGGCGCGTCACAGTGGGCCAGAAGACCGTAGGCGGCCAAAACTCTAGACGCGTTTTGAGCTCCAAAGTCGCGAAACAGGCCTCGAACAGAACGTGTGACCCCACCAATGGATTCCTCGTTCGGAGAGCGATCCATTGGTGGGGTCACACGTTCGGTTCGAGGCCTGTTTAGCGACTCTGGAGCTCAAAACGCGTCCAGAGTTTTGGCCGCCTCCACCGGTCTTCTGGCCCACTGTGCGGGTAGGCCCGGCACGCCTCGCGCCGCCTGTCGCCTTCGTCGCTCTGTCTCTCTCGCACCTATACGGGACGCCCCTCGAGTGCGAGAGAGACAGAGCAACGAAGGCCGCCCTATCGGAATCAGTCTACTGTATGGAGAACAAGGTGGACGCCACCGCCCTGCCCCGTTCTCAGCTGACCCACCAGTGTACCGCACCTATGCCGAAAAATGGTTTCACGGAGCAACGCTGAGACGGCCTTTGTCGCATCCTCTGTTTAGTTAAAGAAGCAGTCGTTGCAAGCCGTTCCCCTTCCCGATAAATATAATGCGAACGTTTCACAGCTTCCTATGCGTTTACCCCTGGAAAAGTGTGATCTCGTCCCTGCTCTTGGACACTGCGAAAGTCCGCGCCTCGGAGGTCGGAAGTCGCCTCCGGTCGGAACTAGGCTTGACTGCCTTTAGCGGTGTGTTGCCAGCTCCTTGGTGGTCCTGGCCAGGCTGGCGGGCCAGCCACCACACTGCCTGCAGGCTCAGCCCAAGGCCCGGCCCAGCCTCGCGGATTCGTCTTCATTTCCCCGACAGCCTGCACTGCGCCATTGCACCGGCCGGCCGGGCCGCCCGCTCTGCAGCAGCAAGGCTTGCCTACTCCCCCCCCCCTCCTTCTCCCCCTCACCTACCTGCGCTTCCCCTGAGCCGCGCTGCTCCGCCGCACCACCCGCAAGTCTGTCTTCTCGTCGCTGATGTCCCTTTTTTTTCGGTACCGTCTCGGATTTGAACCCGTGTCCCCCTGCGCTCCATATTTCACGAGCACCGCACTTTATTATTCCATCTTGCAGTGTGCGGTGCGAATTTAATTACCTCGTCGCCGTGATGGGCGGGGCGGGGCGGGGCGGGGCGGGGCGGGGCGGGCGGGGCGGGGCGGGGCGGGGCGGGGCGGGGCGGGGCGGGGCGGGGCGGGGCGGGGCGGGGCGGGGCGGGGCGGAGCGGGCGGGGCGGGGCGGGGCGGGCGGGGCGGGGCGGGGCGGGGCGGGGCAAGGCGGGGCGGGGCGGGGCGGGGCGGGCGGGGCACGGGTACCGCCTTGGAGGTAGGCCGGCCCGCCGAACGTTCGTGTTGGCCGGCACAGCCTATCCCAGACTTCACAGGCGCTCGCTGCGCGCTCAGCAGACTGATTCCGAAGAATTATTCACTGCAAAAAATTCCGTGGTTTGGCACGGAAAATGTACGGGAAAATGGGGTACAGACGGGTACGGAAAAGGTACGGACCTTCTGTACTGGTTCTCTGTGGTCCCCATAAGGATCTCTTGTAAACGGGTACAGAAATCATGTACAGAACCTCCGTGGTTGGCAAGGTACGGACGGTCCAGGTAAAAAATTGACCAGACATGTTCCGTGTAATTTCTGTACTTTTTTCTATCAGTGTTTCGTCGCTCTGTCTCTATGGCACTCATGTGGGTGACCCACACTGAAAAACCAAACGTGGTCTAGTCCGCGCCAACTGGTGTGGTCAAATGGGTGCCATTTTGACCACATCAGTTGGTGTGGTCTAGACCACGTTTGGTGCAGTCTAGACCACGTTTGGTGCAGTCTAGACCACACCAAACGTGGCCAAACGTGGTCTAGACCGCACCAAACGTGGCCAAACGTAGTCTAGACCACACCAACTGATGTGATCAAAATGGCACCCATCTGACCACACCAGCGGTGCGGTCCGGACCACGTTTGGTTTTTCAGTGCGGGAGGTGCGCGAGGGACGGAGCGAGCCGAGAAAATCCGCCACAAATCTGCTTCTAAACGGTGACGCCGTGCCCCGCCGCTTCGCCGAAATCCACTAGAACAGCAAGCCTCGCACTTCGCCTCCGCCGCTGCTGTTGACTCATCTCAACTTTGTTTCAATTTAACTTCACCATTTGGCGGAGTGGTGAAATGAGTGCGATCGAGACGTGGTGGTGGCGGTGGCGGCAGCGGGGCGGCGCGTAGGTGCGCCGGAGTCGGCACGCCTGGCTCTCACGGGAAGGGGGGGGGGGTAGATATTTGCCGTTGGATTGGTATTGAATCTGGAGGCGTCTCTTGGCCGGTTTTCATCAGCTGGTCAAGGTCGAGGTGCGACACATCGCGTAGAGGAAGGAACCCCGTTCGTCCTTCCATCCACCCCCAACAAAACTCAAAGAGATTTAGCTTGAGAGTTATTATCTGGACAAATGGTCGTATTTCGTTGTGAAAATTAAACGGACGCACAGTGGGCCAGATGACGGGTGGAGGCGGCCAAAACTCTGAACGCGTTTTGAGCTCAAGAGTTGCTAAATAGGACTCGAACCGAACGTGTGACCCCACCAATGGATTCCTCGTTCGGAGAGCAATCCATTGGTGGGGTCACGCGTTCGATTCGAGTCCCATTTAGCGACTCTGGAGCTCAAAACGCGTCCGGGATTTCGGCCGCCTCCACCGGTCTTCTGGCCCGCTGTGGGACGCCAAGGTTTTGGAGCGCGGCTCGGCGGCCGGCAAGCAGGTGTGGCGGTTTATTAATCGCCGTGCCGACGGCTGTGAGTCGATGGCCGTGTTTACGACAATATCCGCTCGGCCGAGGCGGCGCGGCGCAGCAGGCCTAGCGGGGCCGGCCGGGCCGGCAGGAACACCGGTGATGAAATATTAATGAATTCTTATCTGGCGAGCGCCCTGCGCCCTTGGCTCCACGCAGCCATAGCGCAGCCTAGCGTCTCTCCCCTCCCCGTCCTCCCGGCCCCTTCCGCTGCTTTATCGACAAGTAATTCTGTGAAAAGCTCTCTCTCTCTCTCTCTCTCTCTCTCTCTCTCTCTCTCTCACACTCCGTCGAGGTTCGGCAGAATTCTTTCGCTCTCCCGGTGATTGACATCCGCTCGGCAATAATTTTTTTATTGTTTCCCTTTTTTGACAGCGTCACGATGATAGGCGCCATTCTTGGCGCCTCTAAAAGTGAAATTCTTGCGGCTGACAAGTGGCTCTTTTTTTCTGTGTTGCAGTTTGGGTCGTCCGCATGCCGCCGTCGTGGGCTCGGCTCTGAAAGAGGTAGGCTGGGTTCACGGATTCCACGAGAAAGAACGCACTGGTTCGAGCAGCACTGCGTGGTTGGAGCTGTAATCATGAATATCATTTTTAGAACGAGGAAGGAAGGCGTCTTTGTCCAAATTTTAGTCAGGAAGGCCTTATGAGCCATTTTAGTGTGGTCTGTTCCCTCTCAAATCTGAGTGATTGGTTGACAGAGAACATTCGGCATTAGTGCGGTAAAAGAATTCTTTATCCAAATTTGAGTGATTCAGCCTATTTCGCTCATACTGACCATTTCATTCTCGGTGCTTTGGCTTGATTGCACTGACTGTCCTGACCATAACTGCCGATGTTCGGCCTGCGGTATCAATCATGCATACGATGTTAAGAAATGCATTGGCGGTGCGGAGCCACTGGCCATGGATTCCTGGGCAGTCTTCGGGCTTCAGGCCACAGACTGATCCCGAGAGTCGTTTTCCGTCGCTCTGTCTCTCTCGCACCTATATGGCACGCCCCATGAGTGCGAGAGAGACAGAGCGACGAAAACGACTCTCGGAATCAGTCTCCTGAGCTCTTCGTCCGTAGTTGAGAAAGAAGTTGAAGGTGATGCGCTGTGGCAGCGCTGCATCTCCCTATCACTGGCGCGTTACTCGCTCCTTTTCACCTGTAGACTGATTCGGAGAGTCGTTTCCGTCGCTCTGTCTCTCTCGCACTCATGGGGCACACCTTGTAGGTGCGAGAGAAACAGAGCGACGGAGAACGACCCCGGAATCAGTCTGCAGACCCTATCCGGCCCTCCGATACTCCTCATCCCCTTGCCTGCCCTAACTTACTGCCCTGCTTTTCAATCCCATCGCATAGGCCGGCACCGCACCTCGCCCCACCGACACCCCGCCCCGCCCGGGCCATCTAGGCCCCACCGCTCTGTCTCTCTCGCACCTGAACGAGACGCCCCATGAGTGCGAGAGAGACAGAGCGACGACTCTCGGAATAAGTCGACGGAGGCCGTGGCTGCCACATCCCCTCGGCGGTGCGGCTAAGTTACTGTTCGTAAGTCGGCCTGCTGACTTGCCTCCCCTCCCCCACCCATCCTGGCCG